GACTGTTTGGCACAATAATTCAAAGCCACCGTGTTTGCTGTTGATTTTTGTCCCAAAGGAAAACAAAAATGATTAAAAAAAAGAAAAAAAGAAAAAACCCGCCACACAATAACAGAGTGTTGTTTTTGTATCCCTGTCACTCACAGCCGGAGATGATTCACGACGCAAACACCGGCCGAAGGCGTGTTTGGTGAGAAGAAACCTTTAGTCATCGACCTGCTCGTCCATGGTGATCACGTGACGCACCTCGGCCGCAGCCACTCCGATGTCGGCACCTTTCACACAGTGGCTCGGTGCAAAAAGTCACTGCACGCTTCTTGTTGGCTTTGTTCCGACCTCTTAATTTACCCCCCCGACGGCGAGATTGTGTTTCTGGTTTTTGTTCGTTTGTCTGGATTATCGCTGCACTCGGCGGGAAGGTGAGCCGCCGGCCAAAGGAAGGAGCCGTGGCATTTGGGAGTGGATCCGCATCACTGGGCCGGTACCTGGACTTTGCAGAACTGCAGGATTAGCGAACAATAAAAGGATGTTTTATTTGACTAAATAAGAGGCTTTTCCTTCGTATTTATGTTCACATAGTTATTCACACGTCGATTTGACATCACTGCGGGTTTCTTTTCTTGGGAAAAGACAAAACAAAGAGGAAATCCTGTCTTGGATCCGAGTGGATTAAACGAGCTGCTCAACAATTACTGCAGCTTTAACGATTATGAATTGAATGTGAGAAAAGGACGCGGCTAAAATGAGGTGTTTGCACAATGATTTCTGTTGTATTATTAGCTTGCATAATTAAAGGTCACACCAACGCGTCCCCCGGCTCCCCGCAGAGGATGACCTTTCTATTGGCGGCGCTCCAGCGCTGTTTACCTCAACCTTCGTCGCGCTGGGAACGAGTCTCTCGGCCTCCGTTAATGAAGCGGGTTATTCTGTGCCGACATCGGAGGGGGATGAAGCCGCTTTTCTGGTTTGCAATTTCAACGAATGATGAATGTAAGAGCGGTGAGACGCCTCTGTGTCACGGTGACTCGGCATCTCCACCGGCATCGGTTAAGGACCGGATGAAAAATCGCCGCGGTTCAAGCAACGTTTTTCAGAGGAACCTCGTGAGCTGCTTCTCTGGTGTTTGCTGGAATAACATCATGATTGCTCATCGTGAGAGCTTTCTGCCTTTTGAGCGTGGGTCCCTCATGATGAAGGCCTTCTAGACTATGCCAGAGTGCATGTCTGACCTGCTGATGTGCCAGTGAGCAAACAGCCTTCCGGTGTATTTTACTGCTATAATGCAAGCAGCGTAAACAGTTACAGGATCCTCACTTAAAATGCGAGAAGCAGCAGCAGATGCAGAGTCTGTGCACTCGCCCAGATTTCAGATTACACCTGAAAGCCTTCAGGCTGCTTCGTTCCCGGGGACACGCGTCCAGCGCGTCACGTACTGACGCCGTCATGCCGCCGGTTCTTCTTGAAGAGACAACATTTTGGGCTGTTTAGCAATTCATTCGACTACATTCTCACGGCTGTGAAACCTCGACACGCATCGCCGAGCTGCACCTCGCGTTCCGCCTTGAGGTCCCGAGCTGTGAGTTGATGAACACCCACTTTCCACGTTGAGACTTTAGACCCCGTTGTCTCCTCCCTGTTATGTTGTAACGGCGGCAGGTTAAGTGTTATGACGTGTCGGTTTGAAAATATATCCAAAAGGTAAGATTGTGCACATTGTGCGTCTAAGATTTAAAAATATTCCCTGCTGCCTTCTGGGTCTCAACGGCTCTGTGGCACAAACCTGAAGGAGATAATTCAGCTGTGACAGTGAAGCATCCTCCCCGGACACGCAGGAAACACATGCGTGTGTGTGTGTGTGTGTCACGGAGGCTTCATGATGGACTCACAGACAGACTGTAATGAAAGTCTGAGCACTCGTAGTTCGGCAATATATAAAGCCACAAGCCTGAAGAACCGCTGCCCACCCGGAGCGACGGTCTCTGCCCGAAAACACGGAGCTTTTCAAATCTAAACTGACGCACGTTTGATGGATGGAATCTTTCCCGAGAGCCGAATGGAAGCGCGGATGTGCCGGGGTCAAATGTCACCGGCGTGTTATCGAACACAGACCCCCCCCCCCCCCTCCCCTCGAGTGTGATTACATGTTGATCCCGGAGCTGAATGTGCTTTTCCTGCTGCTGAATTTCATTTTCACTTACTGAGCGAAAAACCCATTAAAACCTCCAGAGTAAAGCACGCATTGGATTTGACTCAACAACAGAGGAAGTAAAGTGAGAGCAGGCGCAGTGTGAGATTCATCATCGTGCCTCTCCAACGATTTTCAGAGTGATTCTGTTCGGCGTGAGCCAAGCAAACAGGGGAAACACTTTGCTGTTTATCTCCAGCATCTGAGAGCCTCATTTAGGGGAAATTACTGAAAAAAGGGAAATCATGAAACTTTAACTCAACATCAAAATTGTGTAATTGCAGATTCAATTAAAACAGCTGTGAACTGATGCAGAGATCATAAAAAAGCTTTTTTTTTTCTTCTCAGACACACAAACGCTCGCAGAGCGACAAGCCTTTCCACCCGTCTGCATCTGAACAGACGGAATTAACCTCGAGTACAAACAGAAGATTCGCGCTCTCAGTGCACCTCCCGTTACAGCATTAAGGCTGCTGCATATTCCCTCTCGCGGCCAATTCCCAAATTAAGTCTGTCTGATAATCGCAGCTGCCTCAGATCCGTGAAAAAGCTCCTTTACGTCGACGTCGTGAAGCGGTTCTTGAAACAGGAGCAAAGAAACGTGCTGATCGCAGCCAACGGTGCAAACGTGTCTAACAGTGCAAATATTTCTTCCAGTATAAATATTGTGTGTGCAAACATTGTTCTGTGTTTGTTAGCAACATAATCAAGAAGAGGAAGTATGAATACTGTAAAAGTGTTGATTCGTGATACAATTAGTTATTTTAACTCCAAATAGCGTGTTTTCTGTAGTAACGTAGTAGTTCTGTTGCCTAATCGGACTGCGTTGTTTACCGTTTGCTTGTAACAAACCGGATAAATGCAACAGAGAGAATAATACAAATTTGTGTATGAGAACAGATTGTTTTATACCAGATGAGTATTATCAATGTGGCAATAGAGAAAATGACTGAAACTGATGTAATCCATGTTTCCACATCATGCTGATTGATCGTTACTGTGTAAATCTACTGCCACGCGGGAGCGATGCTGCGCGTTAGCATAAGAGCTGCACGTTGCTATTCAACTTCGGATGTAACTTTTCAAAAAACATTTATGCACGGATGAATGAGATAATTCAGGGTCTCATGTGCGTGAATGAGTAATACATATGAAAGAGCAAATGAATAAAACCAGATTTATTTAAAGGGCAAACCCTATTTCCACCCTCATTATTCACTCTGCCACGAGTCAACAAACCAGGCTCGGGATTTATTTACACGCGCGCATCAACGGTACGCGGCGCTCGTTAAATCCTCCACATGAAGAGGAGCAACGCTTCCTTTCATTCATCCCAAAAACACATCATCCTCAAGGAAAAAAGAGACGTCTGATGATTCAATGCTTCTTCTTCCAATCTGAAAAGAGCACACTTCAATCTGCGTTCTGCGCGTTGCTGCGATCTGATTAATAGCTTCTCCGTTTTAAGGGCCACACAAACAACTAAAACAGAAAGCGCTCCGCAAACGCTTCATTCTACACGTCTTGATGCCTCTCGTGCCCACAATGCTGTATTGTTTTTGTGCATCCTAATTTGTGTCCCCGTGAAAATTTCTGATTTCTGAGTTCTGACTCTAGATCCGCCGACACTGAAACTCGCAACGAATCAGGCCTCATAAAAGTGCTGCTCCGCTGTTGCGAAGCGCCTCATAATGCATTTACCTTTTTACTTTTTCATGGCTTTTGAAGACTTTTGTTTCACACTCAAGTCTGAGGCCTGTTTATCCTCCGTACAAGATTTCCGACGCTTCCATTATTCACGTCCCCGATGAGGCCTGCGTGATCCCATTAGCTGCTGTGAACGCCGGCGACGGGCCCGCGCGAGAGGAACTCCGTGTGCTCCAGTGGCGCTGAGCCTCGTTTAAGGCGGCACCGCCGCAGCTCCGTTTTGGGATCAACGTCACTCGCTCACGACGACGGGGGGGGGGAACGCGGGACCTGAACGGGGAGGCTTCTGCTCCTGCAGCAGATTTGAAGTCAGAGCGTACAGCGAGGATGCTGAGATTGTTTTAGAAAGAGAAAGAAAAATCCAAATTATTTTAAAAGATAATCGGGTTTCCGGTAGAATTGCAGGGGGGCGAAGTGCCGATATTTTAGATATTTAAGGGGACCAATGACTTTAGTATTTCGAGTTGCTTAGGACATTTTTTCATGTCAAGAAAAAAAATGAATGGTGGGTTGATTTCCGTATGAGGCCGACTGTCACATCCGACCACAACGAGGCCCCTCTTAGTGTTATTAGTGACACCTGGTAAAAAAAAAAAAAGGCCCGCACTCAAATCTACTGAATGTTGAAGTTCCACTTGAGGGAATGTGAACTTTCCGACTGATTAACATAACAAGTACAACCACTCCTTGCTGTTAACTCACAGAAGCACATCGGCTTTGAGTGCCTCTCCATCCGCGGCTCGGATTAAGCGGCTGCGTGACTCGGTTAGCAGAGGAATGATGAGAAAACGCAAAACAAAAAAGACCCGACCGGGCTCATCTGACGCACGCCGCCGCGGGTTCGCTGGCTCGCGCGTCACCCGGTAGCCTGATATAGGCCGAGAGACAAAAGGCGTGGATGAAACCCGAGTTTCCTTTCTGTCGCCATGACGACAGCAGCCGCTTTTCACAACAAAGAAATCCGAAAACGGAGCTCAGAGGAACCCCCCGAGGCTCCGCCCACCGGGGGGGAGTTAACGGATCTGACCCCGGTGACCCCGCTCTCACATAATCAAGACGCGAGACATGAGACGAACACCCCCCCCCCCCTGCTGGCCACATATTCCTTCCCGTCCGGGACGCGTGTGCGGGCCTTTTCACAGCGACTGCACCTGGATGCGGTTCAGGGCGTGTTGCTGCTGCAGGCAGGTGTACAGGCAGGTTGAACAGGTTATTCCCTGAATGCCACTCTGTTGAGCCCTCCTCCTCTTCCTCCTCCTCCTCTTCCTCCTCCTGCTGCTGCTGCTCCTCTCCCTCCTCACCTGGTCTCCACGGGCAAACGGCTGACTCATTCTCGCGTGTTGGCCGCTCTGAAGAGAGATCTGGTTGCACCTCATCTGATATTGACTGAGAACAAGGTAAGGATTTACAGAGAAAAGGATTTAATTATGTCCCTCGTCTGTGATTTTTTTTTCGGGGCCTCGTTTGGTTTGATGAGATTTGAGTCGCTGTTCTATTAGCTGGCTAAAAAAAAACAACAATTTTATTGTGAAGTCAAGTGTTTGTAAGGTTACATTCACATGTCAGTAAATGCCAAGACATCAAAGTTCTGAACGTACTGTAGAACCCGAAGAGCAGAAGCACAGCAACGCTGTTACATGTCACAGATTAATACTTAGATAATTTAGATAATTTACCTCACCATAGAAGAAGAAACGTAAAAGGCCTAAATTAATTTAAGTAAAGTACGCGTGTTGTATTAGCAACAAAAAAAAGACCCTGTCAGTATTTCTTTGGTCAAAATGGAGCTAATTTTAAGTTAGTTGGAATAAAGGTATAAAATGGGAAAAGTACCTTTAGTCACACCCAGATACCCAGGTTGACAGTATGGGGATAAAAACACAGGTGAACTTTAAACAAATCGAGTGATTTGTAACATAAATGTCGGGTAATTCACAGTCGCGTGTGTGTGCGTCTTTGACTCGGAGGCTCTTTGGCGGAACGATGACATGACGTGAGGAATGTTTTTGACAGGAAACGAGTTTGAGACAAAAACAAAACAAAAGCAGTGGTTTGAGGTACATTACGTCACACAAACAGGTCCCGCTGACGCGTAGGATGAAAACAGGTCACCAGCGACATCCGTTTTAGATGAACGCGCGTCGATTGTTGTGCGATCTCGTTCGCACCGTGCGGATCAAAACAAACCAGCGCACCAGTCGTATCCGTGGTTACTACCGGTTTGTCCTTTACACCCGAGCGTGTGTCAGCGTGTGTCAGTATGCAAATGTTCAAATGATCCGACACACACCAGAAACTAAAAGTGAACTAATTCACATTCAGACGTCTTTATAAATGTAATCTTTAGTGCAAGTTGAGGACAAAAACGGGAAAAAAGGAAAAGTCAACTTGTCGCCTGGGTGAGGCTCATCAAGCCGGTTTGTTTCTTCCAGTCACCTTGTATAATTCCATCTTCGTAATTGTATCTCAGGGATTATTCATGTACTCTCCGAGTCACGATACCTCCAACCCTAACCCGATTCCCAGGGCGTCGAACGACGAAGCTTTTGTCACCGCCACCTCGCTGGGTCTGATCCCCGGAGCACCGGTTGTCCTGTAGAGGCTTCCATGTAACTACGACGTGACGCCCGTCGGCATCATTAGAGGGAGAGAACGCTCAGGGAGGCTTTAATGGGGGAGGATGAAGAGAACGGAGAACAGAGGGTGGACGGTGAAGCGCTCAATGGGCGGGCGACGAACAAACAGAGGAACCCGCCTGTCAATGGCGTGATGGCATGTTTTGGGATTCTCATTCAAGAGGGGGAGTTGTGTCTTTTGGCAGTTTGCAGTTGGTGAGATCTTGTATGTAAAAGATGACGTGGTTTTTTTTAAACGCGCACAAAAGAGATGAACAAATCCATTTTGGGTACTCGGGTAAGATTGGGCCCATTTTCATTGAGCGCTACTCTGGTTTGACGCGTTAAAATATGTCGTGACAGGTGAAACCAGGCATTTAAAATCCACAGCTTGGCGTGTTCTCACCGCTGGCTCCACTGGACACAAAAGCCTGGTTCACCTGCTTAGAACAAAGACGCCAATCCAACACAATCAGACAATCGGATTCTTCTCGCGCGACCTTCGTCGAGGCAGAACGTCTCCTCCGAACCTGCGAGCGATCCGATGGGATGCGTTTGGACCAGATATCAGCAGCAGGGCAGAAGGCACGGAATGAGGATGTGGGAGGGAAGCAGCTGAAGGCGGCGGCGGGGCAGAGTGAAGCGTGGTTCATGGTCGCCACCTTGAAGCCCGACCAGAAAAGTCCCGTCGCCAGGACCCGACTCCCGAGGCTCTGCGAGCGGCGCCTGCTTGTGCACCGCCCAATTTGATCCCACTTGGTCCCCAATGGTTCTCTGGTAAAAAGCCCTGGTTACATGTCCAGGAACCGGGGAAGCACTCATTCAGCTCGGCGCTTTCACACTCAGTAAACTCAGCAATTCAAGAGTCACATTTTAATTTTGGGCGTGGATCCGACTTTTTCCATTTCCTGTGTTGAATTTGTGAGATAAAAACAGAGCAGAAAAAAACATGTGTACTTTTATTGAAGTTATTTAGACATGAATGTATGTATTTACTGTATGGTTGAACTCAATATAACGTTGATAATAACATAAATAATCAGGATTCATTCCTGTAAAAGTGTTTATAAGGACTTGGTAGACAACAACAAAAAAAGTAAATCATTAATAAATTGAAACATTTAAAAAAATCCACAAACTCTGGCACTTTATCATCAAGACAATTGACAATGTTTTATCTTCTCTTCTGAGTTTCAGAGTGAAGCCAAAGGGGAAAATGGGACACTACTTGAGAATCGCAGCAGGCCTCCTTCTGCTCGTGCAGACTTTTCGCCTGGCGTCGCTCCAAGACTCAACCGACTCTCCGCGGCCGCCGATTCCTCAAAGCTGGCTGCGCGAATTAGTCCCATCTGTGAGTCAAACCACAGCAGTTTCCGAGGAGGAGGCGGATAATAACGCCGACGGAATCCCGTCCGGCTCCATGATGGTAACCACTGCCGAAGAGGAGAATGTGTCCGGCCGAGACGCGGGTACGACGCCTCCTTCATTCCCCACGACTCTCCCGACGGAACAACCAGACGCCACCGGATCCCCAAGCGCCCCGACCACGGTGCTCACAGACGAGACCCAAACAGGGGAAGATGTTCGCAACGCGACGACCTCCCCGATGTCCACGACCCAACGGAGCGAACAAACCTCCGCCATCTTCCCGGGTGACTCCACCGGCGCCGGGTTCCAGACGGCGTCGACGGCGGCGACCTCGGCTCCGGAGCTCAACGCCACGCAGGAGCCGACCACCGAACGGGACGAGGCGACGCAGTCGACCAACGGCGTGGGACCTGCCGCCGGGACGACCGCGATGACCACAGCGTCGCAAGGGGCTAACGAGACGTCCACCACGTCTGCGTCCACGTCGGCGGCGCCGTCGGCGTCCGCAGGCACGAGCCCCGCGCCCACAACGCCCGAGCCTACGACCTTCAAACCTACGACCGCCGAACCTACGACCCCCGAACCTACGACCCCCGAACCTACGACCCCCAAACCTACGACCTCCGCACCTACAACCACCGCCGCTCCGGTCAAACCCGCCATCGGCAACAGGACGGGCGTGGATGTGCCCTCGGGGAGCAGCTCGGAGAGAGGTAGCGTGTCTTCTCACCAGCGTTCCCTCACTTTTCAGTCAGATACCAGCGAAACATTATTTTTTATTGTCGTTGTTGCATTTGCGTCGGCAGCTGCAGAGGCACGAGATCCCCGTTACGCGTCGCCTTCAGAAAGCTCTGGTAACGCGATGCCAAATCACGCGTTTTCCCGCCCTTTCCCCCCCGCCCACATTGGCCCGCGTCTACTTTCCCACTGGCCGAGTACAAGCGGCCGTTCATGCAGAGGCAAAGGTGGGATTGGGTTCCAGGTGCTATCGATGTGGCGGCTCTGAGCGGAGGGGTCCGTTACAATCCCACTTTTCAGCAGGACAATGAACCACTGTTTTAGCATCAAACCCCCCTTAGAGAGGCGGGCAGGGACCGAGGTCAAAGGACGCCTCCCCGCGGCAGCGCGAGACCCGTTGGCCACGAGAAGACGGGATTGGAGAAAGGCCGATTTTTCACATCCGCGGTGTGAATGTGTGTTTTTTTTTTTATTTTTAGCAAGCAACATTCCCCGCAAAGTGTTGTACGTAGGCGAGAACTAGCGACGGCGTGTCGAAAGAGGAAGTTGATAAAGGTGAAATAAAACTTCACACGGACAGATGTGACAGCAGGAGATAACAGAGAGATGATGGCAATAAACAGATGGGAAATAGTTGTGGGCAACATAAAAAAAACTCCGCACCTCCACGGTTGCACGCGAGCACAGACGGTTTGGGCACAGATCATCTTCATGGTCTGTAAATATGAGCAGAGGAAACGTGAATGTCACTGTTGTCAATGCAGAAGAAATATCCGCTCATTCCAGCTGTTGAGAAAAACGGCGTCATTGTGAACTATATACAGTTATATAAACATATATGCCTGATGGGATTTGGACATAAACCAAACTAACCAAAATCATCCCGTTCACATTTCTATCTCAGCTTAAAGCAACATGACGTGAAGTGAAAATCATCCAACTGAACATAATTCAACAAAGTCAGGAGGATTTACCCTCCGGGGAATGTGGATATATCTTCCAATTATATAGAATAGTTATAAGGCAATATCAGACCAAAGCGAGCAGGCGCATTCTCATGAATGTGTATGATGTTCCCAGGAGAAAGAAATATATTTTAAAAGCCAACTTGGGGTAAGATTAGTAGAAGGTATGAAGAACAAACCTCCCGCTCATATTTTATCATGTCGATTTTCAAATGAAGGGAAAACGGCACTGCCTGAAAAAAAACGGCCTCCTGGTTCAACTTGCCCCAGGTTAAGGATAAATTGATCCCAGCAAAGGCGTAAATTGAGCTATTAGTGAATAAGCGGAGCTTCCTAAATTATTCATGTGCAAGTCCTGATAAAACACAAACTATTTTTTTGGCAAAGGATATGGAAAACAATTATGTCGCTTTCAGAAACAGCCTCTTTTTTCCCCCCCCCTCTTCTGTAACAGAAGAGCAGAAACAGAATCACACGCGAGTCAGAGGTTTTGACTTGTTAGAATAGAGCGTGCAAGAAAATTCACACCTGTACAGCTGTGAGAAAACAGATGTTCACATAAGCAGGTAATGATTAGCCTTGTGCATAAATACATGTAAAGAAATGATATATTTATTTCTAGAACGTACGGAATCTGTCAAGTGCTGCGATGGGAACTAATGTTCAGTCCCATTTAACCTCAGATTGCCGTCTTTAAATATTCAAATGTATTCCAGAGATTGAACCGATTTCAGCTCGTTAATTGCATTCATTATTGCAGCGTAAATAAGACAAATCTGTACAGATGACTAATTGGGATGTGTTACTGCTGGAGACTCACTTTCCAATAAACATTCCGGCTGTAATTATCCGCCAATTAACCCTCAGAGACGGCAGTTGATGCGAGTGATTTCGTTGTTGACACATTATTTGTTATTTCTCTCCCACCCTCTCGACCCCCCCCTCGTTCCTCGAATGCAAACGTTGAGAAGAAGACGCCAGCAGGAGCGGAAGAAGGGGAGCGTGGGGCGCCGTACTGGGCACGGCCGTGGCCGTGGCGGTCGTCGGACTGGTGGCCTACGTCATCCTGAAGAGGAAGCACCAGAAGGGCTTCTCTCACAGCAAACTGGTGGAGGAGCATCCCTCGGACCCAGGTGTGTCCTGACTCGCCCCTCATGTGCTCAGCCCAAATGGTATCTGGAAGGAAAGTTATTACTGGGAAGGGTCGGAGACTCGACCGGACTGAGACTCAAAATACGTTCACACTGTCAAGTAGCTCAGCCTTTTTTTTTAGAGGGTCACATTCTCACGCTGCACCTTTCCTACAAAGAGAAAACAGATGTGAGACTTAAACGTACATGGAAAGGACTAAGCCCCGCCCCCTTTGCTGCTAATCTCTCGCGCTGTCGGCGCGGCGTTACCATGGCGCCCAGCGAGTAGAAGCTACAATTCACGGCGTGTCAACGTCCGTGTGTTTAACACACTTCCTTCTAAACCACTCAGTCCGAAATCCACAAAACAAGAGTCTATGCTGCATTTGATCAAACCCTGTTCAGCCGGTTTTAGCTGCCGAATATATGCTAAGCTAACACACACACACACACAGTAAGCGGACAATGCAAAATAGGATCATGTTCTTCTTCAGTGTGGCGGTTTGCCACAACGGGACGATTATTCCAGGAACAAGAAAGGGTTTTTCTTGTCACTCCCTAAAGCCTAATCGTCCCGTTGAGGTGTGTTTTGTGTCGTGTGTGAGGATTCTAACGAAGGCCAACACCCTGCCACCGCTGCGTCACAATGTGAACCACAGGCGCACAAAAGGCCGGATAAGGATCAGATCGTTTCCACCCGCGGTACGCATTCAAAACAAGTTGCGTTCAAAACACACAAATTCGCCCAGACTTAACCTCGTTATTACATATATATATTTACAGTAACATCAGCCGGTTTCTTTTTCCAAAAGATTTTTTTCAGCATCTTTCTGTCAAATAATCTGCTGGGATTCATTATTTTCCCGTGTGTACGTTGAGGCCCTTCGTCTCGGTGCTGCGGTGGTTATTTGGCAGTTGGGAGTAGTTCACTGCTCTGGTGTACCCGCTTACCTTCAATCCGCCGTGTTTACCGCCAAGCCAGGCGCCCTGATTTACACCGTTTCCCCCTTAAATGACTTTGAAAATGCTGGCCTGGCCTGGTTTGATTGATCCGTTTGAATGTTTGTTAAAAAAAAGACGGAGGCTCTGCAAGTTTTTTTTTTTCTTCCACGGTAAAAAATACTTACAATACAACGCAGCGTTTCTACGGTGGATTAATGAACTTGTCTCCCAGTCCTCAGATTAGACAACAGCGCCCCTTTGGACCTGGACTTCGGAATCGGTCGCTCGGCCTACTACAACCCGGCGCTCCAAGGGGACAGGATCCAGATGGAGAACCTCCCGGGACGCCGCTGACCCCAGAGGCCAAGGTCACGACCTCCTGTGAGAGGAAGGCGGCCCGTTGCGTGGACCTTTTGTGAAGAGGAGCGCGTGGCGTTTGTTGGACGCGAAGGTCACGCGCCCGCGTTAAGTAGATTTATTGCGCTGAAATAGAGCGAGCAGCAAAGGCAACCTACACAGCCATTTATATCGCCAAAGGGTATCAAATGAAGTCTTTCCTAATCAAGAATAGGCCTCGCAGTAGATGAAGAATGTATATTTGTACTGGCTTTTGGTTTCCTTTTAAATATGCGTATATTCTTTTTGTGAAATAATGTCCAAGACAAGCAAAACATAATAATCAGATCGAACCAGAACGCCCCCCCCCCCCCCAAACCAGGCGATCAGTCTCGTTGATCAGCAGCGACGACCACGTGGTCACGACACCCTGCTTCAGTCCCCCGACCTCCGGCCGTCCGGGCCGACGCACGTTTGACTTTGAATGGAAACAACGGCGATCAGGGCGGGATCAACTACGCGCTTTCGTAAAGATTTCACACATTTTGTCCATTTCTCAACCTTCCTGCTCTTCCGCCGCGTATAAATAAACCCCCGTTCATTCCGCTCTCTCGTCCGCTCTCTCGTCATTACCCGAGATCTCGGCAGGCGTTGTTGTTGGACGGCGCCAGGTGCATTTGGTCTGATGGAGGGAGGAGCTTTTTGAGGCCCACTGTCAGAGAACGGCAGGGATTGCTGCAGGAACCATGCAGGACGGATGAGAAACGGGGGGGATCCAGAACATCATTTTGGCTTTCTTTCATACATCACAGGAACTCGCTCTGTGGGAGACAGTAGCTGCTTGAATTAAACACGATCATTTACGAATTAGTTTTTTTTGGCGGCGTGCTAAAATCGATTAACTGATGCCGAGCTCGCTAAACAATGTACATGTCTTTTTCGGGGGGGGCGGGTGGAGTATGTGCAGGTTAATTTACACTTCCAGCCGAGCCAAATTGATTCAAATGAAATTAAACAGTCGCTGTCTTAATTGGGTGTCGAATTCCTTATTGTCTAAATTTGAATTCATTTTAGCGAACTCACTGGAAATGAGTTTAACCCAAGAAGTCTCGTCGGTTGTAACCACCCAGATCGCTGTCTCCTCGTGCGATGAGTCGACGGTGCTTAACGCTGAAACGGAGGCCCAGCGAGGGGAGGACTCCTTAAAATGACCATCAAACTTCTCATGAAATGAGTGTTCATCTGGTCACGGAAGAATGACAGCATGCCGATGTAGAAATAGCAATTAGTTAGTAGTAAACTGTGAGCGAGCGCCTGAAAGACACACTTGGCTGACGTCCCTGGAGGGTATTCACCAAAATGTGAAATGCTTTGACACCAGTGGCACGTGGGGCTCCTTGAAAAGGGAAATATTTTGTGATAAAAAAATGGCTCCAGTCAGTTGACGGCTGGTCTCTTAGCAACACAGACCCTCGATTGTCAGTCAGCGGTCGCCGTGGGAAACGCCCCCAGAGACGGTTCCCCAAATATGTCCAAAAAAGTGTAACATCCTTCCAACTTCAATACCGCCAGAGCTCATGCGCCCTCATTTAAAAATTGAGGAGAATTCATATTTCAGTTTGATTATAATGTCTGCAGCGATGTTGTGGAAGGATTTTATCTTTGGAATGAAAAGAGCCTCTGACAGGAACAAAGATCAAAGAGATTTGTTTCAGTTAGTTCCTTTCTTCTCATTGATAAGCCACATCGAACCTAACGAACAACTCGTGGTGGAAAACGTATTTGGAATAAATCACGGGCATGATCTTACGGCCCTACAGCCTTCCCATTATTAACTGGTGAGCGACGGTAAGAAAGTGGTGGTTTGTGATGCACACAGAGACTGACAACGCAAATAAAACACCTGAAAAGAATTGAAAACGTCCAAATTAAAGCACCTGAATAACTGAAATGTCACGTGTCACCTTCAGTCTATTTACCTTTACATTCTTCTGACGTTCTCCTCATACTTTTGTACTTTTGTACATCAGCTGCTGCTTACGTTACAGACGGGACTTTCAAGCCAGCCCAAATGTTCTTTGTACCGTGTGTTGTTTACACCAAAACAAGGGAACGTAGAACCACAGCGTTTCTTGTTTGTGCCTTAAAACTAAAAGATCGAACGACTGTTGCACTGAATTCCATTTCAAGCATAAAGTTAACGGCAGCGGCTTGGACAGTCGATTCCAGTAATTGTTTGCAATATGTCTTTTGTCAGCAAACGTTAACTTAGAATGAAATTAAATAACGTGTAGAAACAAGAATACATTTTGAAAAGCTTTTAATTACTTGGGCCAATAACAGATTTTCTGCACAATTTCCTTCACTGTTCGTTTCAGTTGATCGTATTAAAACATCTCTGGAAATAACGAGATTCTAATTCATGCTTTTGCTTACAAATCTGTTGATTAAATGAACAAATGGGTCTTAACATGGATGAGACTTTCTCCGGTCCGGTAAACCCACGACAACAACGACGATTGAACAGTTGATTGAGGAAACTATTTGCAAATGAGGAACAAAACTTGTCTGTCGGTTCGGGCTCAGAAAAATCCAGACTGCATTAATCGATCAAACTAAATAATGGGCGAGTATATTCTTCCCACCGGCGTGTGTGTGTGTGTGTGTGTGTGTGGTGGAAAGGTGGTGTTTTGCATTTGAACGGTACGCGCTTGTGGAGGTTAAAGGAGCTTCCTGCGGTGTGTTTGAAAGTGAACCTCGACAGGACGTGACGGAGAGCGAGAGGGAGAAACGAGGCCGAGCAGAAGGTCAACGCGCGTGTCCCTCTGTCACCGATCTCTCCACCGCGGTTGCTTCTGCCGGTCGGGTCACCGGGGCGGATCGGAAAAGGCCGGCGCCGACTCCTCCGACAGCGTCCTCCCTGAGATAAACAAACACCTAAAAGGTTTCCCAATACACGCATGGGACGGGAGGGACGGGCGACGGCCAGCAGCTTCTTGTTGTGGTTTTTTTTACGATCAGTTATGCAGACTTTGGACACTCGTGCGGCCGCGGAACAAGGCAGAGGTATTCAAAGCACGCTGGGTCTCTGCACAACGTGCAGCGTATCGCCGAGGCGCAGCTGGCAGGTAAAGATGGGTTCGACTTTCACTCGGCCTCCACCGCGCAAAGCCCCGGTGACATTGAGCTTCACTCAACGGGTGTCTAAATACACACCAAAGGGTACGATCACCGGGAATACAGAACACGTCAAATGAACACACTCTTGACATTTTTGTCACGAATCAATTTAGTCTTTATTTAAGGTAAAATGGCATTTTATTTACCCTATTTCCACAATCTTTAATGGATCACTATACGGGAGGATTTCAATAAACCGTCCCAGCTCAGTGAATTGTTCTTCAGGTTAAGTTGAACTACGAAAGAAACTAAACATTAAGCCAACTAATTTATTTAACTCATTTTTGAGTAGACCAGAACTAAATCGGGCCGTTCGGTTTAGGGACAAATTAAAAAGATCCCACGTTAATGTTGTTCAACGTTAGCGTTAGCTTAGTCGCTAAAGTTGGGTAGTGTTAGCTTACCAACGACATCACTAACGTATATGAATCTATGTGGCCTTTTGTAAATGAAGTGGATACGCTTACGAATACAACGTTGGGTTCAAAGTCAAACGAACGCTGTCTGGTACCAAGTAATAATAATAATAATTGGTTTTATATAGCGCTTTTATAAATGTCTCAAAGACGCTTTAACATAGTACCACTTTTATTAGACGCCTGTTAAGTTGGATGTTGCAACCGACTGGAACTTGTGAAGGACAACAAGGGACACCAACGCAAAGAACCAACATCTTCAGTAATATTACATTGCTCCGTGGCCAATATAGCCAACCGAATGCTACACACGGTACACTTAAACATGGAGAGGTTTATTTAGGGGCGTTTAAACACTTTGACTGTTTGAAGGGAAGGTCGCTGGGCCTTTCTGCCAAAGCCAAGAAAACAAAAATGAACGGCACGAGAAGATAAATAAAAGAGAAGCTTAGTATAAAATCCCTGAGGAATCTTCCCTCTGAGCTTCCTTCCATCTTCTAAGTGATCTGCATCCAGTAGGGGTGTGACGATTCATTTTAACAACGATTCGATTCGAATCGCGATTCATGGTTTGCCGATTCGATTCATGGACGATCTGGGTTCATTTAGAACGGTTCGATTCAGTGACTTGAAATCGATTCAGTGACTTTACTGGACAGTTTCTGAGATCCCTGTTGTTTCTTGTAAGAAAATCAGATTTAAATTAATTATGGATATTTTAAACAAGCAAACAACAATTAATGGCAAATGTATTAACCTTTTATTTGAATCAAGTGCCATTTTCAATGTAAACATTAGACAATAATTACAATGTTTGGATCAATTTACAGAACCCCGGAATTTCAACCACATTGTAGGGTCGCACGTCTTTACAGATAAACTTGTTGCTGTGATGCTGAGTTTGGTGCTGGCGAGGCCTGAGGCGTCTGCAGAGCTGAGTTACCTGCTGCTGCTGCAGCGGTGACGCTGCTGGAGGTCCTGACTGTCGCCGTTGTTTAATCCCGCGGCGCCTTAGTAGACGGCCGGAAAGATTCCTCGTGTTTCCGTGGTTTTTTATTTGTCTTCTACATATTCTACATATACAGCGAGCGACTTATTTAGAACACCTCCGTGTTTGCAAAAGCCAAAATGTTTCCACCGGATCGATAAGTTGGTTTGTAAACGTCTCGCTCGCTGTCGCCTCCTCCACGCTGTGTGTTGTTGTTGTTCCGAGTTTCCCGCGGCTGCCGCTGCGTACCGATGACGTCACAGACCGGCAGACTGAATCCAGTAACGTTTAACGCGTCTAAAGTGCTAACAAACAAACAAACACACATCCGCACCGTTTGTGTGCTTAAAGTATCGATACAATCGATTATGTAGCATTTCAATCGATTTGTAATTGATTCTTGTCGTCCGAAGTGCCGATTTGCGCAGCACAGATCGATTCAGTTGGCTCGCGAGAATATAAATCGATTAATCGATACACCCCTAGTATCCGGCAATTCTAAGTAACTGTGCAGCGAGAGACAATTGTTTCATACTAACTATGCGGAGACTGCAAGGGCAAATAGATAACGGGAACACATCCTGTGAATGAGGCATTAAGCAGACGGACAAGTATAATTCCAAAGATGTGACAGAGACGGGGGCCAAAAAGGGACTTACAAAGAAAGCTGCACCGATGGTTTGTTCTACAAGGAGAGCGTGTCTGCCAACTCCTGCATGAAGGCACAGTGGTAAGTAGGCTTTCAATCCAGTAAAAAGCTATAAGGCCCCGTAAAAGAGACGATAGCAGCCAAAGATGGCGACTCGATGCATTCATCAAACCTTTATAATCAGTCAGGCATAAAGAGAGACGGTAATGGGGATAACGGGGAAAAATGGCTCTTTTCCTCAATGTGCCGGTGTGAACATTTCGTTAGTTTTACCTGCTTTCGGGACGAGTTGGACGGAGCTTCGCACCACTAGAGTTTCAACAAGGTCGAAGGCTGGAATAAAGCATTTTTCATACCAAAATATTTAAGGCGCTTGCCAGCCCGTTTGGCGACTCCATCGCTTCGGCTGGACTCCTGCCGCGGGGAACACAAAGGGGCTCGCGATCGCTTCGAGCGCCTTAAGCCTCACGTGTTCATCGGCGGCGTCGAGTCGTACGCGCAGTAACGTGAGACAGAGACGACCGCCGGGAGGTCGAGCAGGGATCCAACATGAAGCCAATTGGACATTAAACAATGTTAAATCAGAGTGAGAACAACACATGAAATCTTTCCTTTATTTATTTTAAAGCGCTTTGAGGGGGGGGATCTCTTGTGAGAGTTTATGTTGTATAATCAGTACAAACAATTGGCTTATAAAAGGTTCTAACAAGTTGTTTTCATATTTTTGATCGTTTAAAAGCAGGCCGAATAGCGTCCAACATAATCCAAGCGTTACGCAGACGGATGTTTGTAAGGAAACATGACTTGCGAGCAACAGTTCTTTATTTTGGTTAAATTAAACATTTTAAAAGCCTATGTATGAAACATCTAATCACTGCGGATGCTGACAGATCGAGAAATAATGATACCAAACACCTTAGATGTGTAGTAAGGTAATAGAACATTTATTACCACCAGAAGAAACTCGAGACTCAATTTGAAGAAAAGTGCCTGTGAGCATCTGTGAAATCACAAGCGATAAGAAGGTAACCCGATGATAGGCGACAGGGATATGGATGATTAAATAACCAATAATCAATATCGGTGTTTCACAACAACTCTGGAATGATGAATAGAACCTTAAATAGGAGATGAAAGCGTCCTTCTTCATTTGAGTGTCCAGACCAGCTGACTCACAGCCTGACGTGAATCACTGTGAGGAGTGTGTTGACTCGCTGCTGCTCGCCGCTTCTGCACTTTTTCTATTTTCCTTCATTGTCGTCCTGCCGAACAATGTTTGTGGGTTTGGCGGATAAACAATACGGAATAAAACCGTCCAAAACCTGTGACAGTGCTGGTATTTCACTGCTCTCACACACACACACACACACACAGACACACACACACACACACACACACAGAAGATCTGAGGGATGAGAACTGCAAGGCGGGCACAAAATCTGCCTCTGGTCTCTTCATCTTGGCTGCTCTCCACAGCCTCACGTCCCGGATCCACATCTGGGCAGCTGTAAGGACACAAAGTTTTTTTTTTTTAATGCTTCTTTATATTTGAGGACAATTCATCTCGGAGAAAAATATTCGGATCAGCGGGCGATCGTGAGTCTCTTCATTGTGTTTAAAACGAGGTCAATGTGTGTCCATCATTTCCCAAGTAAAACACGGCTTCAAATGTATTCATATTTATACATTTTGCTATTTTTTAATTGCTCTCAAAAAAA